CGCGCCGCCCGGTGTAACAGGGTGATCTTGCTTTTGCATAGCTTTGCATCTTTGCGCGCCGCCCGGTGTGACAGGGTGATGTTTGTTTTGTTTTCGCTTGCTCGCGCCGCCCTGCTGGCACAGTGTGTTGGAGTTGATGTTTGGTGTGAGGAACAGTGGAGGTGTTGGTGTCGGATTAACAAAGCAAAGCTTCCGCTGCACTCTGCGCGGAGGGATGAAGTCCAGGCTGTAAAGGATTGGCGCAGCGCCACAACATGTAAACCCAAGACGGTTCGAAAAAGAGCCAAGAGAACCGTTTTTACATTGGCTCGTCGCCACAGACTGCGTAGAGGCGGTGTCAAATGACATTCGACTTTTTGCAACCAGAAAAATGTTCATTGCGTCAGCTGACAGACAAGATGTCACGGTTGTAGATTTTAAACTGAGCGTATATATGGATGGAGATTCAGGCATACGCGTAGTCGCATAGAGATGTGTTTGTGGCGTATGAAAGAGATAAAGGAACAGTGAATAGTGTGAACCTCTGTGCTATTGTGGATTGAACGCGTGCGTGATGGTGAAACTGAGCAACCTGGTGTAACTGCACCTTTTGTGATGTCGAGTTCCCTTGCCCCACTATAGGCTGTTAGCAGGTTCGGTGAGGTCATCTTGAAAAATCTTGAGGGAAGTGCTGTCACGCTTCGGAACCTGCCTACCTTGTGGAGATCTGAAGTCTTGGGACGTGTACGCGAGCGTACAACAAACGGTGATTTGCTTGCAATGATTTGTTTCAATCGGTTGGTTGGATCTACTGGTCATGAGTTCAGCCAAGTAGGGTTGCTCTTGGAATAGGGCAACGTTTGTTGGCGGATCTTCCGCCACGGGTTTAGTGCTTTGTTGTGTCCTTTTCTCTTTTTGATCCGCCCGCACTCTCCTTTATGAAGGGGTCTTCATTCGTTGCGACCTTTTTGGTTAAATTTTGGGGTGGTAGGTTTCTTCTTTGAGCCACCCTTGCACGGCTGGTTTGCTGCGCTGGTCCCGGTCTCCTTTCTTCCCGTACCAGGGTTGTGAGTTAACAAGTGGTGCATCTGGCATGCATGGGTTTTGTTTCTGGTGATGTGATTTCTCTTTCCAATTTATTTTGGTTCATCACCTTTCATTGCTAAGCGCATCCCGACTACTATTACTACTATTTGTTGTTTTAAGGTAGTGTTGACATGGTAGACTGATTCGAAAAATTTCGGGGACAGCAAATAGTATTTGTTACAAAAAGGATAATTTAGCTTTTTCTATATTTCTTGCAGATGGTGGAGTTATAGTTAGGTTTCACTGCGTGCCATATCATATGTGTGTAGGATGGACGTGCACAGCGCTAATACGCAAAACTTGATTGCTGGCTGGACGTTTTTTCTGGTAGACAACAAAAGACTAATGTGCTAAATGCGCTAAATAGTTTTCATATGCTGCTGTATTCTGACTGACTAAGACGAAAAACAATAGACGAGAGACCGAGAGACTAAACGAAACGCTTCACCATGCATGTCGATGTGAACTGTTGGCTATAGTTTTTCCTTTTTTCCCCATGGGTGCGCGGAAGTGTCGTGGGTTTCAATGGGTTTCAATGTCACAAAAGTCATCCGTTCAAAAGGCAATAAAGGACAGATGTTTCATTGTTGACTGCAATGTTCTATGTTTACGGTTGCTCCGCTTTTCACCCCTTGGCCCTTTGCCATGGCGCGCAGAGAGCGGCGCGCCAAGCGGATGGCAGATTGGTATGGACTTGCCGTGGAAGGCCTATACCCGGGTTTGACGGCGAATCGAGTCCTTCCGGGCATGTCCAAAAAGTAGTTGTGAGCCATATGGGAGATGATCGAAAACCCAGCGTAAGGAGTTTAATATAAAACAGCCTTTTAGATGTTGTTAAAACCCTCCGCGAAAGCTTCGCGATGAGGTTCGCGAAAGTACATGTTTTTTCGCGAAAGATTTATCGAAGGTTCTGGTTTTAATATTGGTTCTCCTTTTATGGCCCACTGGATAAAACGCTTCTACGTAGAACTTTACTTGGTTTCAGTTTGTTTTGGGATGTCAATGTGTAGTGTAGCGTATGTTTGTGGGATTCCTGTATTATGTGTCATAGATCACAGATGTGTATAGTTGTCAGAGGCATTTGTGCTTGAAGCAATCTAGCCACAGAGATGGCGCCAAATACAGCCAAAGTGCAATCACCTGGCTGAGCCAGTTTGAGCCAATGGGGAAATCATTAATGATTTTTCGCGAAAGATCCGCGAAAGTTTCACGAATGTGCCGATAAAGTTCTGCCTACCAAACTTGACCCCACCCCCATACCCCAACGACCTGGAATAGGGATGTGGGGCTGCTGGTCTGTCAGCTTTGGATGACGGCTGTATCAAAGTGGTGCAGGATTTCTTCTTCCGCCCACCGTATCTCTATATATAAATATACATGACTCTCTGACTCACCCAAAACATGTTAAGTAACCAACCTCTCTTGAGGAACATGCTTCGCGATGAGGTCGCGAAAGATCCGCGAAAGATATCTGCTTTTTCGCGATGAATGGCCATTCCAGGATGAAAGAATATTGATCAAACATCATATGTTGTAGACAAGAAGGTACAGCGGAACATTATATGGCATATTCATACCCAAAGATGCGCCACCGGCATGACAGGTGAGCGCGGCGCTGCGGCAAAGAAGCAGTGTGTTGCGCGAGCCGAAGAGGCCCGGCTCTCATGCTGAGCGTTCAGCTGTGCGCAAGGGTACGGATTGAAATAGGACAGAACAAACTACACAGTGCACATTCTGAGAACAGTTAGCACAGCAACGACGCCACGACATGTGTCATGAGGGAACTTTACGAAATCTTCATGGCTGCAGGTCGCTGAGAAGCTTCCTCCAGGCGGATTACGCCGAAGCGCTCCGCGCCGTTTTTTTCGAATCATGTTTGATTGTCGTGATGCGAGACACTTCGGCTATTAGTGAATGAGTGACACAAACGCATTAGCCGTTGACAAGTTGACACATTGACAAGTGATCTACCAATCACAGATCATCGCCAGGTCGGTTTGCCTATAGGCTGCATTAGGTTTTCCTTGATCCGATTGAACGCGGAAAGCTTGGCACAGGAGCTGCGAAAGGTCTGCAAAATGCAGCACCTTCAGGTGAGGAGTGGGGAGACGGTCGATGACAGGGCCACTACCCATATCAAGAGGTGTTTTCCTCACATAAACACTAAAATCAATTTACTGCTTAGTTCCTTACTTTTCACATACCATGGCATGGCTTCTTCAGTTGTCTCCTGGAAACGAATGGGAAAGTTTCTCGGATCGACTGTCTTTTCGTGGCTCAGGCCCGGAAGGCATTGATCCAATAACCATGGAGCGGCTTCTGTGGGGATCTGAAGTGAAACATAGAGACTGACAGTGAAGCACTTCAAGAAACATACCCTGTGAACTTTAATCCAATTTGATTCTCAGAGATTAGATTTTGGTCGAGGGCAGTCGGTGAGTTGTAATACAGCGTCCATCCAGATGGTTCCCCCTTAATTTCTATGATAGACTTCCATGCAGATGGTCGCCCCTTGAACCAAAAGCAATGTTTCGGTGGATTGTGAACGCCCGCTTTCGATCTTCCCGGTCGGATGGATATGTGGTCGTCACTGAGGAGCCAGGTGCAAAAAGGTGGTCCTTCGGTACAAAACGAAGCGCTCGTCGCAGTGACAGGCCACTGGAACGGCGTAGAGTTATGAAGACACAGATGTAATGATATTTGAGATGTATAGAAGGTATCAGACTTTTCTTTTTTCACATGTTCTCCAGAGAGCTGGTTGAAAGGTTTTGATCAGAATCCTTTTGATGAAGGACTTCTTTTGACAGACTTGGAAGTGCATTGTTTGTTTTGTGTTTTTAACCATCGGATGTTTGCGATGTCCCAGGCCTTCCGCCACAGCATGCGGCAAAGCTCTTGGAGTTTGCCCTTGAGAAGTCCAAGGACACCCGCTTCGTCGAATCGGGGATCTGGCGAGGTGGAGGTGAAGAGTCGAAGCAGAACAGTAAGCTTAGATAAAGGATCTTAGCCAAGTATCATTGTCCTGCGAAGGTCTGCGGAGTGTGAAGAAGAGTAAACACAACAAAAGCAAACAAACTCTTCAAAAGCCATGCAAACTGTCAAAGCATCAACAATATACGTGCTATTCATGCTTATTCTTTTTTGTAAGTCATGGTATGTGGTTGCCCCATCCAGGAGCTACGGGACCCGTCGATGTATATGGTGTCCACGGTGGCAAGGCCAGTGCGTCGTTGGGGAGACAATGCTTTCGTGACCCGTCGGATTGTATTCCGGGTGCAGAAAGGTGAGTCGGGCGACGAAATCCATACTCCGGTGGTGTAGGACGCCGCTCCAAAGAGAAACTAGAACTATGGTGCCGAGCGAACATAGAAACATATGATTTGTTGAGCTTACGAAAGCTGATGCTTCAACAAAAACGTACATAGGTTTGTGCTCTGGCTTGTGTTTTGCGCTTGTTAGTTTCACAATCCATGTGGAGCAGAGTCTGATTCTAGCCACCAAAAAGAACATGTATTGCTTTGCAAGAGTGGCTCTTTCTTTACAGTTTACCTGCGTAGACCATTTACATCCGCACCACCTGGCAGGGGCTTCAAGCCCAGATGGCACGCCAGGGTCTCAGATTTGGCAGAATTGCGGGCAAGTTACGGAGTTGCAGGAACTTTTGTTTAACGCTCAAATCAACATATTTCTGGCGGCCCGACATGGACAAACAATTCAATCAATGCGCCCTGGGCGTTGCAGAGTTGCACGCTGAGGAAATGGTGGAGGCCTCTGTCCCTTCCAAAGGATGGTTCGACGCGTTGCAAAGACGCAAGGATGATTGGCATGCGAAAATGACGGAGACATTCTTTTAACTCTTTCAACCGTATGATCACGTGGCTTTTGGGAGCCTCATTTGTTTTGGCACGAAGCCACTCATGAATTGAATTCACCAAACACTATGTTCATATCTGCGCGGGAATCAATCCGGTTGATGGTTATCGAAAAGATTTTTCAATCGGTACCTTTGTGAGGAAAAGGCGTACAACTTGAGCTGGCGCAAGATCGAAAGCCGCAGCCTGGCTTGAACGCAAAAGCGGCCGTACTCTTTTGAAAAGCGTAACAAGCTTTTGAACGTCATGCCAACCGTTCTAGGCTTCGGGAACCATCAGCCATCAGCGCTTGTATCCAAGGCACAAAGCCAGGAGTGTTCTACTGGGAGAATTTTCACACAGGCCAGAGATCAGTGGACGACGCTTTGGCTGATTCATTAGTTGCAACGCATGCTTTCCAATATACATGTGCAATAATTGAACAATGAAAAACAATGAGAAACCGATCTAAGGACCCGCGACGTCCGGTTTCTCCTTCCCCTGTGCGTGGTGGCATGGGCAAATGAGACCTGTGCGCGCTAGTGAGAAATGTGCCGGTGCTTTTCATCCGCAACGAAATGTTACCAAAAGGTCCCTGCCACATATATATATATACACATTACAATATATTCAATTCAGATGTGAACTCCTTGATGGTAGTAGGCTTTCTTCACCCACAAGCATACAGTGACCAATTTCAGAGCTCCCCACCGAACTCGAGTTCTTTCCGTCCGGCACGTGGCCTCTAACGACTGTGGCCTCACGTCTTCACTCGCCAGGAGCTTCGTGGTGTGCAAGGTGAGCCCCAATAGCTGGGCCTCGCGCATGCGGATCGGTGTGGGCAACGTGACGCCGCCGGGTTTGGAGTCGGAGCTGAGATGGCAGATCACTGGAGGGTGGTTGGTTTGGATTGACACGGAGAGATGTCGGGTGTTTCTTGAGTTCGTCTGGTCTGATGGGTTTTGGAGAAAAGGTCCAAATCAGAAGGAACAAGAAAAAGGGCTGTGCCGGTCTTCGAAATGAGACTCAAACCTCCACACTACTTGACTCGACCTACATGCGGAGTGACCTGGTGGAGTTTTGTTATCGTTTTGAGACATCACATGAGAATGTAATTCTTTCTGTTCATTTTTTGTAGTTTTCATCTTCTTTTGTGTTTTTGTTTATTTTTGTAGTTTTTCCTGCTGTTAATTTGTGCACCGAGTTGCTTTAATCATCTTTTCGTTTTCGAGCAGCAAGAGAAGACGTTGCCCACATGGCCAGGAGTTGCTCTCGATCGGTGGCCAAGCGGCCAAGAAGATGAAGCTTGAGGAGGGACCTCTGCGCGGGTTGACTCGGTGAACTTGACCAACTTGCTGGTTATATACTCTACTGGGAATCTTCAAGACTTGGAGGGCGGGGTGAAGTTGTCTCAACTGCACAAAGACTCTTGACGTGTTGAAGAGTGCTGAATGTTTTTTTTATTTTAAAGGCATGCTCACAATCATTGACACACCTGTGCTTCAAGCTCCAAGACATTCTAGCAGTCTAGGCTTTTTCCCCAGAGGGTTGGGTTCACAACTGTGAGACCACCTGACCGTCTGTGATTTGACCTCCCTGTTTGCCAATGTGTTTGAACACTCGGGGCGACTCGATCACTCGGCACAGGAGATCCAATCCATGCTTTCGCCCGAGGGTGCCGGAGGCTCAATATGGTCTGAACCTGCCGGGAACACCGACCGTAGCTTCACCGAGGTGCGACCTCTCCGGTTTTGGCTGCAAGCTGATATGGGCAGCTAGGGAGAAGGAGAGAACCAGATCGATTTCTGGCTTGAGAAGAACACCAGATGAAGGAGCCGAGCTCGGAGCACCTTGCAGGGGGAAAGCTCCGGCAGACGAGTTCCGGCAGAGCTCGGAGCTCCGGAGCTCCGTGAAGGTTCCTTCCCGGTGACATGTCAGATGAAGATGGCTCGCACCAGACCGATCTGAGCGGAACTTCTTGAAAGCATGAGCTGAATTGATCCACGCCAACGGCCACAGACATGGGTGAGTCTGTTCTGGGAAAGAAGCAGAAGATTGATCAGCCGATTCATCATCTTCAGGCAAACTGACTGGGGCTTTGACCACGGAAATCGAACGCCAAGGTCACGACGAACTCAAGGGATGTGGCGAGCAGGGACGGACGGTCACATACTTTTGGTTCCAAAGTATGGCTACTCACGTCTCACTTGATGCTCAAGGCACGGAAGTTTCACCAATGTACATAGACGGAAATGTACATAGTCTGGTCACAACTGTGGCCCAAGAAGTGATTCTGTACATCTGGAAGATAACTACCAGTCTAGGTGCTGTGCAAGTAGTCTGCGAGGGGTAGTTAGGCCCAAGTTGAGAGAATGCCGTGTGCCTTCTTCAAGCAAAAGTTATGGCCTGAGAAGGTCAATCTCGATGATGGTACCCGCGTTGGGGAACAAAAGATTCTGCTTCTTCAGTGCCCGTTCTTTCTTTCTTTCTTTCTTTTGTTTTTTTTTCTTTCTTTCCTTCTTTCTTGACCAAACATGGGACCTGCCTCTTCACGGTTTTGAAGGATGCCCTCACAAGAGGCTCCTCCCACATGTTTCGGACTGACAGGTCTTGCTTCGCACCACGCGCAGGTGTGATACTTCCCTGGACTTCGGCAACTCGATCCCAGACCGGTGCACCGAAGCGAGTCTTCACCAAGCGAGGACGCATTGCAGTGAGCGCCTTCAGAGTTTGTGGTGCACTTTCTGCCCTGAGCCCTCAATTTATGCGCCGAACGCACTGAACACACTGAAGTCGTGGAGAATTGAACAGCTTTTCTATGGAGGGCTTAGGGGGAGGCTGTTCAGTCGACTGATCCAGTGAGATGATGGCAGGTGTTTCATTGAGGGTCAGTCCCTTAGGAGCGTTGAACATGATGTCGTCAGCATAGTGCATGAGTTGCAATCCGCTTCTTTGCATCCCGTGCAACTGCACGAGCCTTGGCCCATGCTGGTTTTCGCATCGGTCGCTCAGGAAAAGTGATCCTGACCTCTGGGATTCCTTATCTTCCCCCTGGATGGGGCCTCGTGATCGAGGCCAGTCATGGGGCCTCGTTGGCAAGCTTGACAGGTATGACTCTTGGAGTATGTCTCAGCAGATGGTATGGGAAAAGGAGCCCAGTCGCCCAGAATCCCCAGGGCGAACAAGGAGCCTTCGAAGGTTTGGAGACCGTAAGATTCTTTCAGTCAGCAGGTCGTTCTGATAGTCTGATTGTTCCTCATGATGGGTGAAAAGATGTGAAAAGCCTCTCAATGCCTTAAGACGGATTATATATTTGGGGTTCGTGATTTGGTGACTTTGTGCGGGGGACATGTATGGCAGTGGTGCTAGAGAGGTGTTGGAAATTTGATGAAATTTATACTTTTTGCTGCAGGTTGTCCTGATGATGGTCTTGCTCAGAAAGTTCATTCTGGAGTGGCATGTGCAGGCAGAAGTTCTGTGCTGGTTTTGGCGAACTCATGTTGGATCCATGTCGGAATGCTTGGAGACTTGGTATCCGCAGGCCAAATATTTCGACCACCTGGTGCCTAGACAGGCGCGCGGTTTGGCGCGCGTTTGGAGACTTTAAGATCTTCCATGTAGCTTCAAGATCTTCCAAGGAATACTTCAACAAGAGCCACATCAAGTTCGGTTTGGCGATGCTGGTAGGAGCCTCAGATGATAAGCAGGATGGATTGTTTCGATGGTAGCTTCGTTGTGCTTTGGACATCGCCCGGATGATGCCGCTGCGACTCCAAGCACGAGGGTGATTTCTTTTTTTTCACTTTTAGCCCAGTTCAACCACCTCAAAGTTGGGACTGAGCTGGTGAAGGGGTGAGCCCGGTGAGGTCCCAGTCCCTTAGGTTCTTAGTTACCTTAGTTATCCTTACTTTGTCTCAAAACAAACAAGATAAAAGGACATCTTCCCCCTGGTTCTTGCGTTCCTTGACCCCGGCCGATGGCCGCTTGGCCGCTGGAAGGCTCTCGAAGCAGCCGACCTCTTGATCTTCGTGCTGCTACGGCCCAGGCGCTGAATGGGATTTTGATAGGGCCTCCAGTTCCTGGTGATGTTGGGGGCTGGGGGGGATAAACATCATTAAACATCATAATTTTGTAGATCAAAGCTTCCTTGAAGTATGGGAAGGGCAACCTGGCTGAAGTTAGATCAAAACATATCATATCCAGAGCTTGCAGGTTCCGCTTTGCCTTTGTTGCGAGATCTGGCTACCTGTGCTTGCTGCCTGCGGCCCGAATCTCAGAACATCTACCTGGCTTAGAGCCTTGTGCCACCACTGGTTCTGTGCCTTCAAGAGCATTGGCTGATACTGTTCAAGATGGACAAGGCATCATCCTGCCACACCGCTCCAGCATGTGGCAGAAAAATTTCCGTTTTTCTCGACCCATCGCAAGGTCACGCGCTTGGCCCGATGTGTTGCAGCCTGCTTGTACGGAGCCAAGAGCTTCACTGCAAAGGCTCAACAGGTCACGCTTTGCCGCAATTGCCCTTCAGAAACCAGTAATATGGATGTCCAGTTTTTGAGGTTCCCACAGGTTGCCAAGGTAAAGGATGCACATTCCCCCTTCGGGCTTGATCTATGCGTCGAGCACTTTTTTTGAGCTGAGACAAAAAACGGGTCGAGGTGGGAGATGATCTCAGTGGCCGTCTTCTTGGTCGGTTGCCTGGCTGCACGACCCTGCCCGTGGCCGTCTTACGGTGGAAACTCGTGGCAGGTCCTTGGAATGTCGAACTTCGAAACGGTGGGCCTTCCTTCATTCTATGGGAAACTGGCTAGGGGACCAGCCAGGTCTTTCTCCTGCCCCTGGCAGGAGTTCATGGGATTTCATGGGATGTCTGGATTTCGGACGAAAGTGGGTTAAGCTGCTCCCAGGAACTGTGCTCTTCTTCGCGTGGATTGCAGTGACGATCTTCAAGGACTTGGACCATGGCACCAAGGCGCCCACTGCCAGCACGAGTGGCCGGTTGGGTCGCCGGGAAGCCAATGCTAACAGCGCAAGAAAGTGGTGGGCCACTATGTTCATGTTTCAGTTGGCTTCTTGATTTGATCATTTGTTGTTTTGCATTGTGGGATTTGCTCTTCTCGTGGCTCTTCACCTCAGCTTTGCCAGTAATTCACGCACGGTCACTAGGCCCCTTGGCCAGCAAGGCTTTATTTGGTCATTCGACAGTGGTTTTATTGTAGCAGGGCATCATTTCTATGATTTTTGATCGCGGCTGCCCCAAGACAGGGGACCCAATTAATGCTGGGCTCAGGGCTTCACTTCCTTCAAAGACTCCTTAAACTCGATGTTCATCGCCGGAGAGCCTTGGCTGCAACGGCTTTGATGCATTTTCATCGCATGGCATTCCAGAAATGCAAAAGACAAGATCATTTGACATTTCATCCTCTCTATGGCTATGGCACTGTACGGGTGGCCGCCAGGCCCCAGTGCTAGCAGAACTGAGGGTTCTTTCCTTGGAAAACGCCCCAACGTGCAAGGTCTCGGACGAGTTTGTCAGCGTCTTCCTGAAGTCAAGGACTGAGATCGGAATCAGACACCAGCAGCATTATGTTTCATTTCAGCATCCAGAATCTCAACCTTCCGAACCCCTCAGGAATTCTCAGAACGGCATCAACAAATTAAAACTTGTGATTCCTTGCAGCTCGATGCAAGGTCGTACACAGCCTATCGATTTGTTGGTGCAGGGCGCTCAGATCTTCCATGTCGTTGCCAGCAGCTCGCCCATTTCCTCCCCTAGTCCTCTTCTTTTCCTTTTTCTAGGAAGATAGGTGCAAGTGTGGAATCCATATTTGCTTCAACGGTTCTTGGGGACATCACCAAGTTCTTGCCAATTCCAACCTCCCACCCATGTCTGTATACATACATATATATATATATATATCGCTGGTCCAGTGCTCAGCTCCCTCAGATCTTTTGGCTGATCTTCCTTGTCATCGCTCATGTTTTGCTGCTGAGTTTGGTTGGGCACTTATGCGAACATTTAGTGTTTGGCAGCTTATGCAGAGGTGAGGCTCTGCCGTTCGCCTCTTTGATTCATGTTTCACCCGCCCACCTTTTGGAACCCAGGTGCTGGACACCTTGTGCCCGGCTCTCGGAGGGGGGAGCGAGACGCGAGAAAGCGGGAGTTTGTACAGCTGTGCGGGGTGGAGCTGACAGGTGCTGCATACATGACCTACACAGAGCACACTTCAGAGGCCCGTGCCTCGTTCTTTTTTTTTTCCAGTTTTTCACCCACTCGGCAGATGTGACATTTCTTCAGAATCCAGGCACTGAAACTGATGCCAGTCGCTGCATGCACGTCTGCTCCTCGCGTTGCATCGTTCAGGTACAGGCGGAGCAATGCATCCTGGGCATGTGGAAGGCGTGTTTGGAGTCTTCCTGCCTGGTCAGGTTTCAAGACCTACTGTGGTGAAAAAGATTGAGCAAACAGATTCCAAGACTTGTAGATCATTGAAGTTGAAGGATCCCAAGTCTCACATGCCGAGGCCAAGTCTCACAATGCCTCTAGGACACTGAAAGGCCTCAAGATCCCAAGCTTTCAGGGCCCAAAGCCCAACTCTGAGGCCTTCAAGACTCTGAGCAATGCCACAGGGGGCGAGGAGAAAGAGGTGCAGATGAGCAAATCTGGTGAATTTGGTGGATGGTTCGTGCAGTTTTCACCACACCTCTAATTTGATCCGTTGTTGAATGGGTGGGATCTGAAACAGCGGCACCGGAGCTTCTGAAAACCGGACACATCCAGAAAACGCTGTCACCACCCGCAAGGTCACCAAGAATAATTTCTTCCTCTTTCTGCAGGACCCTGCTGTTTTGGCTTTAAAGGTTTGTACAGGTGAAGAACCAGTGTTGTTCTTTTTTGTCAAATCCCAATGTGAATCTCGTGTGCGTACACAAATGCTCATGACTCATGTCAATTCTACTCTTGTGATTGCTCTTGGGTCAGCTGTGTTCGTTAAGGAACTATTGCTACCTACTTGGCTTCACATGGAGTGAACAACAACTTGTGAAGGGTTGCTCTGATGCTTTGGATGAAAGGAGATCAGCAAATCGCCCAGATCTTGTGGAATTTCGAGTGAGGAGGCGTAGTTGAGCGGAGAACAGCCGGTTGAAGCTTCGTTGTTGGGGTTCACCATAAGATCTTACTAGTATTATTCTCTCCCACGCACATCATGAAATCTTGCTAGAATTCCTTGTCTTAACCGATTTGAGCATGTCTTTGCTGTACCTGTACCTTTTTCCTTCCATTTTCTTTCTGATTTTGATCAGGTTTGTGCAATGTCACTTGAGAGAGGACTTGCTTGAGCAGTTCTCCCAAAGACCATGTCCTTCATGGCGTGAGTGCACACTGCTGGTGCTTTTGAGGGTGCTTCCCTCACATCCCTTAAGTAAGAGGCGCAGATCATGTGGGATGCCATCGACAAGGCCTGCAAGTACGGTTGTTTGGGATGTCTTCAATTTGACCAAGCTAGCATGTAAAGAGAGTATAACATGTGCGCTTTTGGAAGATATACATGATTTCGGACATCGAGGAGCTCCCGACTGGGTTTTTCCAACTGAGCTGAGGACCAGTCAGGAAGTATTGATCCTGAAGAGCACCATTCTCAGCTTGGAAAGAGGTCCAGCCAGCTTCCTGCCAGCTTCCAATCGCCTGCTAAAATAGCCTTCTTTTTGGCCGCCAAGTGGTTGCAGCATCCGAAAAGATAAGGGTTTGGACTCATCCAGAAGCTGACACGGTTGAGAAGAGGACTTCTTGATAATGGGGGACTCCATCAGTTTGTTCCTTTCTTGCAGTCAGATTGTGGGAGAACCTCTGATGAAGTGATTCAATCTTTCGATTCACCCCTTGCTCTTGTTTTCAACCTGTCGTTTTCGGTGATGTATGATGCCCCCCCCAAGCCCCTTGAGCCCCACCATCCGCCTTGAGCCCGTGACCTGCTTGCTGAGGTTTCTAGATGTTGTTGTATTGATCCAGTACGATTTCTGGACAACAAGGATGGTGATCTGACTCTCGTTACCTTGTGCGTCCAAGCAGACTTGCTAGGGCAATAGCAGAGGCAAGGCTTATTGAAGAGTACTCCCTATTCAAGCGGATTAATCCACAGAGTATATGGTATCTATCTATATATATATATGTACAGATATACATGATGTATATAGCCCATGTTGTGAAGTCTTCGGAACGACCTGGACCGGTCGCCTCTTTGCGACCGGCGCTGACATCCTCCTTCCTTGCCCTCCTGCCAGGAAGGACTCCTGCATCAAAGACTGGTTCCCCGGATTGTGGGAAAAGCCTTGGTTCAGGCTTGGGTGGGGCGAACTTGGTCACTAGTACCGTACTTGGTACCTGTACCTGTAACTGCAGCCAGGGTGGTGCGAGGGTGCCAGTGTAGTACAGTATGACATGCATCACATTTTGTTCTTCAGATCTGTCTCAAACACCGACACCGAACGCCCGTCACGACTCGGTGGGGCGCCCGTCACGACCCGGTCTCGCCAACGACTTCGCCAGGAACTACCGCTTCTTCGTGGAGGGCGGTGATGACCTGGACTTCTCGGTGGTGACTCTCGACCGGTGCCACCGGTTTACCATCATTGTCGGCGGATCGGGACGTCCGGCGTCACCGGCGTTTTCCTTCGGATCTGGAGGTTTGTTCGCGGACGCGTGGATCCAATTTTCTTGGACTTAAGACTTATGGGATGTGTTTGGAAAAGAATGGAACCGTTTTGCTGAGGTGCTTTGCTTAGCACAAAGCGATGCTCAGGAATTGAATCCATGAATCAGCCAAGAAACTCTTCATATCGGACCTCCAATCCTGGTTAGCAAGCAGGTGAAAACATCACCACTTCCCCTGAAGCAAATCAGTGGAGGGCTGCACATGGACGAAGTATGCAAAAACGACACTGAGCGAACAAAAGAGACGCTCTTCTGCTCTTCTGCAGGCTAGTGAACCTTGTCCTCTTGGCGTGGAAGCTCAAGCTCTGTCAGAACCTGCACTAGCCACAGCAGCGACAGTTTCAGAGATTGGTGGTCTTGCTGCCAAATCTGTGTTGATCTAATCTCGTAGATAAGCAGAATTTGGAATGAGGGCACTTCCTACGAAGCCTTATTGTGAAGCCTTCTGACAGCTGCCTCGCAATTGGTATCTAGCTGCTTGAAGTTCCATTCCACTTGCTGTCATAGGAAGTTAATGACCCTGGTGATTCATCCCGTTGGAAAGTGTTGTGAAAAGGACACGTCAAACACGAAACAACATTTCAAAGTGCGTCTAAGTGCTTCAGTTGTATGAACCACCAAGGATTGTTTGTCATAAACCCATCCGTCACCACATTTGAGTCAATGTGGTCGAAAGACACCGAAATATGAGGTCAACTTGGTGTTGGTGGTGGTCGAGAGTTACTATGACCTCAGCAAGCATTTCACTCAGTAACCTTGGCGAGTCGATCAGTAGGCCGTGAGTCGATCAGCTAGCATGAAACCAGTCACAGACCTTTGGACAGCGATTTAGGAAGCCTCAGACTTATTGAACGTTCTTTTCAGCACCCAACGTCCGGAGTCGAGAGAGTCCACAGGGTTTCTTTTCGTTTTGGATCACTGGAAGTCCAAGGGGGGCGCCGCCAATACTCCTCCCGTCGGCGGTCCGGGTCTGTCCTAAAAGAAGATGAAGACGCCGGTCTGAGGTGGGAGGAACCATGGTGGATGGACTCGGGGGAGCTCATCTTCTCCTTGATTTATCTGGGCCACTTGGGCGGCCGATGCTCGCCCTGCGGTTCGGTTCGCGAGGGAAGCGATGTTCTGGTGCCAAAAGCTTGGGGTCTCCAAAGGCTGGCGCTGGATCGTGTGGGGAGCTTTTGGATTGGCTGGGGCGTTGGTGTGAAGGGTGGAAGGTGTGGTGCAAAGTGTGGTGGAGGTGAGGAGGGGGACAGCAGGTGAAAGGAGGTGAAAGAGACAGCTTGCAAGGGGCTCCACTTCAAGAGAATAAGACTATTCATTTCATGATTTCTGTTGCTGTCCGTGGAGTTGGGTGTTTGAGAGCTCCTCTTGCCCCCTTCTGTTGCTGTCTGTGCTGATTCTTGCCTGCTTTTTTCGGAACTCGTCTGGCTGACTCAGGTGAGTTTTTTGTGAAGATCTCGGTCTATTCCTTTGATGAGTACTGGTGCGAGCCCAAGTCTGCAGCGGCGCACAGGGCGGATCAGATGGTTCATTTCTCTCAGAAAGATCCGAGTTCTGCCGGCAAGCTGAGTGCTTTGGGGCTTCGGTTCGTGTGTATTGTATTGAGGACTTCCGGTTGGGCCCCAGGGCCGATCTTGGGTCCGTCTCCCAGGTCCAGCGTTTCCAACCAGTTCGACTTCTTCACGACGTGGCTCTTGTTGAGCACCGCTGTAGCTGAAAGGTGGGCTCCGTTCACGTCGGACGTCGGTGCCGCCAGTGGGAGAACCGGGGGCCCACCGTTCGTCACCGTTCGGACGGTCGGACAGACCCAGGCAAGGGCCAACACTGGCGTGGACTCATCTTTTTTGGTGATCACATGTCTCTTGTATTTGGGATCAAATGGTCTCCCAGAATGCTTGTAAGACACGATTATGATTCATTCTGATCGTTCAGCCAGGCTATTTGCTAGTGGAATCTCCACCTATGCCAACATGCTGCGATTGCTGAGGAGTGCAGACCGGGGTCTGCGGTGGGTTGCGGGTGCTGTGGCAACACGTCATAAAAGTTTGGCATACTCTTGTGTGCTCGCTTTTGTATTGATATTCTGGGCCGGCTGCAGATACAACTTTGCAAGGACAACAGATTCACCCAAACTTACTGCCGTCGACTGTCTTCCTTCCTTCCTTCCTTCCTTCCTTCCGGCAAAGCACATGTTCTTCCCCTGTTTTGCTTGCGCTGCCCTCAGGTTGGTGAGAGTGGTGAAGAATCTCAAGAATCTGGAGTCTGTTGGGGACTTGGCAACGCTTGATGCTTGAATTCAGGTGGACAATGTCATAACCGAGATGCGAACGATGACAACTGTGCCAGCTGTGTACGCACAACCTTCACTCAACTGCAGTAGGCTAGACTGCGTATCCCTTTGCAAGGGGTTCAAGGGCCCCACGATGCACAGTTGTTGAAAGCGACGTGTCTGCCTCTGAAATGGAAGACGAAGGGTTCCTTTGGATTGGCTTTTCCATTCCTTAGCAGGGGGTGTCCTGCTGGTTTTGCTGGTTTCCCGGCTCTATGCTTTCCTGGCCTATGTTTTCATGGGTGTCCAAACTTTCATCAAACTGTCATGTCAAGATGAGTTCCCAAAGGAAAACACACTGTATCAAATAAGTTCAGGGGGCGGCTGCGGTGCTGCATCGTCCCCCCGTTACCCCCTCGCCCTACTGAGCTCGCCAACCAGCTTCGCCCTCCGCCACCGTGGTACCCCGACGGATCGGTGTGTTCCCGTGTGTTCCCCCCGATCGGTCGACCGAGTGATGCGACCAGCTGGATCGGTCGATCCTGCGCTTCCGATCCGACAGGTGCAATTCATGACGGACACCGTGTTCAAGTTGGTGATGGCATCGAAGGCGCCCCAAATCCCATCGTCTGTCGAAGGTTCGTCTTCGCCACACGAGTGCTCCAGCAATGGATGGGATCCCAGTCAAACTTTGAAGGGGATGAAAGAATAGTGGCATTCTTCTGATTGTTTGTCCATATCTTTGCTTATTTTGGCTCTCAGGGCTTTCCTATTTGTCTAGATGGCGCATCGTTCAGAACTGAACGACTCGCGGCGCGTTTCTGGCCCAACGTCTTCCATCTTGCGGCAAAGGCAGGACGATCTCGAGCAACCCAAGAAGGCCGTCTCATTCGAAGAAGGCCTTTCTGCCGATGAGGAGGCGGAGTCCGTCACGTCTCCAAGCTCTTTGTGGTGGAAGGATCAATCAAAGTTGCAGCAATTTCTGTGCGAAATTGGCTTGGCCTCTGAAAGCCCAATGAGAAAGGCGGGGAAGTCCCGATTCATTTATCCTCATCCAGCAGTGCAAGGGGATCCAGAATTAGCTCGAAACCTTTGGGACCACTTGGATGTCTTTTGACAATATTTGCTTCAAGCAGAGGTAGTCTGTCGGTATCTCCTGTGTCACTGTGCGTCTTTGGCCCCACTGCGTGGGAGCTGCCGTTTTGGGACCAGGCTTGGCAATTTAGTTCTCGGGGGTGTCTTCAATATTAGTGGCCTTCGAGCTTGTGACAAAAGGACGAGACGGCACTGCTGTTTGCATTGCGAAATCCGTGGCCAATACTGGCTTGGGAAGTGGACTTCCTCCCCAAATTCATGCAAGCTGAACTTGAGGTCAAGGTGTTTCTGCCTGCTCAGATGTCTTCTGACTCGATGTCTTCTGAGGAGCAGAGGCAGGACATTCCTGCTGTACAGGACTAAACTTGCTTCAGTTGCAGCTGTTGAGCTTTCTGGTCTCTGGCGGCTTAAGGCCCTCAGAACTTGCGCATTTCAGCCTTAAGTTGCCATGTCAAGAATTGAGACGTGGCCATTTTGGACGGAAAAGCCGAAGACCACGCTTTACGGGTCAGTTGGAAGCGGAGCTTTTTCAGTCACTTCATGGTGACTTTCCGAGCCCAAACTGCCCGTCACCACTGCCCCTTTCAGGACATGATCACCTTGCTTGGAGTGGTGGTGTTCTTCTTCTGTGCCTTTTCGGTGCAGGTTCGGCTGCCAGCTGCAAGCGTGTTAGGGTCAATGGGAGGGTCAGCGACAAAAACCATGCCTAAACCTACTGGTGCTCATTTCACAGGACTCTTCAGGCTCAAGCAATCAGAAGCAATCCAGCGCATGCCTTTTTCGGACATTTCGGACACTCAGATCCAGACATGGTTTCCGGTTTTGCAACGGGGCCCACCGCTTGAAAGGCCATGTGGTCCATCACGGCATTGGGGTTTGAGTTTTGGTCCATCACCCTTCAGATGGACTGGACGAGGTCTTTGGTGGAGATCTTTATGAGAACAATGATCAGCTTGAGGCGACATGCGAATCCAGATCAGCATGATTCGAAACACACGAGTCTGACTACTGTGAGACGGGACCGACAGTAGATGATGTGAGTATGATGTGGCAATTGTTATGTTGGTGCCAAAACATACCTTGCTGCCCAGTCTTCTTTCGTCGTCTCAGTCAATGATTGAAGAGCTGCTTTGATCGTCTCAACATATGAGAAGAGCTTTCGACTTGGGCAACCCAGACTGGAACTTCGGCATGCGTCTTTCATGCAATAATATTTACATGTTACATCTAGTCTATAATGTATATATGATATGTATATATATATATATACACATGTATATATTTTTTGTATATATGTACATATATGATACACTCTCTGAAAGAATCATGCAAGTGGATGGCTAGTTTAAGGAACACGGAGACCCCGGTGGTAGAGCAAGTCCAATCTTCCGTGCCTGGACATCACCAATAATTCGCCCCTACTCTTTTTCGTTTCGGTTGACCGAAACTGCCTTGACAGGGCACCGAATACCTGGAGAAGCACATGTTTGTGCTGAACTTCAATGACATTCCAAGCGCCTTTGGGCCAACTGCTCAAGAGAGTTTGCAGCATGAAACTGCTTCCTGCAGAGTTGGCCTTTTCTTACACTACCTTCCTTCAATAAAATTGAACACCGCCCTTGCAAGTCGGCTTGGACACCAAGGGTCTGGTTTGTGCAACTTCTTTGCGAGTACGAGCCCAATTTCCCAGAGGCTTGTCTACTGAGAAGCTATTAGAAACAAGAAGCTACTAGGAACAAGTGCATCGCTACTAGGAACAAGTGCCTTACTAGTAGTAACAAGAAGCTTGTCTACTGTCGTTTTAGCTCTTTTCCTGTCGACTTGGGCATTTGGAGACTCGCCAGGCGGTTTCTCGAACCTCGTCGTTTCCCTTTGGCTGGACCGGGCGCCTGCTACTCCGGAGAGTCATCCGTTCCAAAAGGGCCAAGCTGTGGAATCACCACCAAGATGGCAGCTCTACGTTTGCTCGGATGTTGTGACACTCCCGATCACTATTCTCACATATTCTCACTATTCACCTGATCACAACAAAAATGTGTGAGGCAATCGTTTGTGTATGCGTGTTTGCCTTTTCTGAGCAGAAGGCTCAAAGGTCATCATGCACAGTAGGCAACTTAAGGGTCCTTGGCAACAGGTGTCACTGGAAGCCGAGCTTCCACCGTCGCCAGGATGATGTTCCCCGTCTTCTACGTCCTGGGCGTTAGCATCGTTTTTGAGTTGGTGAAGGCCATGCACATTTATACAACAACTATATATATATATATTATATAGATATACACATATATATATACATATATCTATATGCATATTTAGTACGACTGTCCAACATTTTGGTGTGACTGCATATGGCCTTTGCAAAGCCTCCTGCCAAGTTCCTTCCAACTGCCTGGCCGGTAGTAGAACCTGTCAACAAAACACTCTGCAGAACACAGTCATCGGACACATTCTTCCTGCCTTTTTTCCCCACGTTTTGCATGCATTGAACCTCTCTCTCAAGCAAAAGCAGATTACCTGATGACCTCGGACTTCGACCAGCCACGGTCGTGTGGCCAGGCCTTCACGATAGAAGTCTTCATGAGCCTCAAGCAACGCTGGAACGAGTTGAAGCTACTCGGAAGTGGAGGTTTTCTCGACGTGTCGTCGCAAAAAGGCTCCAACGTGGCCCCCTTTTGTAACGCAGCCTAGTTCCAAAGGGTAGAGGGTCTGAAGAAATGTTGACAATGTTTACCCACGTGGAAGAGCTTCACCCAACTGGAAATTAACTCTTATTTCACGGAGGGGTATTTTTTCTGGGAATTTTTTTCATTTTTTTTCGGGAATT